AAGGGGAGAGACTAAGAGAAAGATCAGGCACAATATCCCTGAGTCTGTATCTTTTCGAAGGTGCTAAAAGCAAAAAACACATGAAATGATTTGACTATTTATTATTATTGTTGGAATTATGCACAAGCCCACGTGTATGGATCAAAAAGAAAGAAAAAGATTTCACGGGGCATTTAGTTCAATATTAGTCATAGTGGACGGACGGTGAATGCTACGCTCACCTGTCAAATCAAATATCTTCTTGGTATTATCGAGCACCGAGCGTTTGGAATTTATAAAATTTTGATCAATTTTGTTGTTGGGATTGGGATTATTCGACACAGCTATGTTTGGGTGAAGTGTCTTTCTTAATTTCCTGACTCTTGAGGGACTTGAAGGATGCCTTTTTTTCCTAGTAAATTTGTACTTATTTGTATCCTTCAATCGTGGTTTATGCAATATATTTGATGGGATTCTTAAGTTTGATTTGATTTCTTTGGAATCATGAGTCGAAAATGATGTCAAAACCATTTTTTGATTGTTGTTATTTATTAAATCTTCATTTCCTCTACGTCCCACATCGGTTTCAATATTTGATTGTGAACTTAATGACTCATTGATTCTTATGCTGGCATTATTATGCGCGTTAAAGGTTTGGGATTCATTAATCTCTAGTAATCGTTTTCCGTTGCTATTTTGATCAGAGCCTTAAGATGGTATATGGAATGGTTAGTTGAAATTATTAATGTATATATAGATATAAACATAAAAAAAAATGAAAAAGTATACATGTTCCTTCCAACGAATCATTTAAAAGTGACATGGATTCCTTTTCTCGCGGAATATTAAACGTCAGAAAATTAACTGTATCAGCATTACCATTATCGATCAATGTCTTTGAAAGCAAATCATCTGCATTTCCCTTGGTTAAGTCCATTGCAGTGTCGATCCTTAAAGAATTACGCGCCTCAATAAGTAAATCTTCGGATACTGCGTTCAAGCATTTTCCGCTAGCAGTGGCAAACCCAGTAGGTTTCTCCAATGCATTGAATGAGTCTTCTTCAAGCAAATAATCTGAATTTCCGTTGGAAAGGTCCATTTCAGAATCAATCTTTAAAGAATTACGCGCCTCAACAAGTAAACCTTCGGATACTACATTCAGGCATTTTCCACTAGCAGTAGCAAACCCTGTAGGTTTCTCCAATGCATTGAATGAATCTTCATCAGGCAAATAATCTGAATTTCCGTTAGAAAGGTCCATTCCAGAGTCAATCTTTAAAGAATTACGCGCCTCAATAAGTAAATCTTCGGATACTGCGTTCAAGCATTTTCCACTAGCAGTGGTAAATCCAGTAGGCTTCTCCAATGCATTGAATGAATCTTCTTCAAGCAAATAATCTGAATTTCCGTTAGATAGGTCCATTTCAGAATCGACCTTTAAAGAATTACGCGCCTCAACAAGTAAACCTTCGGATACTGCGTTCAGGCATTTTCCACTAGCAGTAGCAAACCCAGTAGGTTTCTCCAATGCATTAAATGAATCTTCATCTAGAGAATCAACATTACACGATTTATGCGCCTTATCGAAAGAATATTCGGAATTTATTCCAAGATTATGGTCACTAGCGCTAGAAAATCCCAGTTCTAGAGCGTTTTCCGGAATAATACATATACCAAATGAATCTAGCGTCTTCCGAAAAGAATCCTCTGATATTTGATTCAGGTGTCGCCCATTCGCGGTAGAGAAGCCCGAAAAATCTGATTTACCAACTGTACCAAAACCAATGTCGTAAAAATTCTGCTCCTTTACAAGTGAATCTTCGGAAACTAATGTTTGACATTGTCCTTCCCAAGAAAAGCTAGTAGGTATCTCTTCCTTATCCCTATTCTTATCAATATCAAGGAAATCTCGTGTTTTGTCCGTAGAATCTATTAGATTCGTGGCGGGATCTGGTTCACTAGGGATAACAACTTTCTGAAGGTTATTTTGTTCAGGGTTTAGCTGCATGTCTGTAATAAAAAAAATCCGCGTTTTATATTACAAAACAAGATCGCGTTTTTATAATTTGCCGGGTATATTATAATTATGATGTAATGATGTAATACCCTAGAATCGGTCGATCATTTGAATATTTTCACTTTCTGGATGTATATATAATGATAAATGTCTTGTGAGGACGATTGCTTACAACTCGAGGATCAAGATCTCTTGCTTTTCAAGGTTCTTTGGGCATTCCATTTTCGCAATTTCATGTTATAATTCGAGTTATCCTTATTGCATCCAATACATATATACAAGGAACCAGAGGGATACAGGCAACCGCCACCAGAGCCGAAATTTCAGTCGTTCCAGTGTAAAGAACATACGTCTTCTGGTACTTGAATGAATAGAATAACAGTGAGAGCTAATGGAATTACATATACATAATAAAATACTCGACATATATTTTTGCATAAAGATAGTCCACGGACCCTTAACATTCGATTGGTTGGGAAACATCCATTATGGGCGCACGAATTGTGGAATGCAAGCAAATGTCTTGCATGGTATTTGGAAGGACACAATGAATTAATTCAAGATAAAAATATCTTAGAGCTTGGAGCGGGGGGCGCACTACCCTCTTTCATTTCATCTTTGAATGGTGCGAAAAAGGTGAGCTACAAGTCGATCGATAGTGTATGGAAGGTTAATTCACCCACTCGAAAAATGGATCGTTTTTAGGTTGTTATCACCGATTACCCTGATATCGAATTGATTGAAAACATTAAATATAATGTGTCCACAAATTTATCTTCGGAATCGGAAAAAATAGTTGTTTTGGTAGGACGTGTTAAATTCCTTTTTCTATTTCTATTCGATTCCTCATTGCTCAGTTTTGCGACTCGATATAACTTTTAGGGTTATATCTGGGGAAAAGATACTACACCCTTGTTGGATGCGATCACTTTATCACCAGCAGACAAACCACGCTTCGATATCATAATAATGGCGGATTTAATATTTAACCATTCGGAGCATTCATCATTATTAAGGGTATGCAAGGAATGTTTGGAGAGTGAGAATGGACAAGCGCTTGTATTTTTTACGCATCACAAACCACACCTTGCAGACAGAGACATGAAATTCTTTGAACTTGCACAAAAAGATTTTATGTTCAAGGTAGAAAAGATTAGTGAGGAAATTATGAAACCGATGTTTGAAAAAGATTATGGTTCTGAACTTGTAAGATCGACTGTGTACGGATATAAGTTAACTCATCAAAAATGAGTATAATTATTTCTTAAATAAAATAGTTCGAGTAAATAACGCGCTTTAATTAAGCGATACTACTATCATGCATTGTCATTGTTGTCATTGTTCGGGGTAAAATCGCTTTTCACCGGCTCCCGCTGTTAAAACTTCGACACCAGTCTCGGTAACTAGTAAGGTGTGCTCAAATTGTGCGCTTCGCTTGCCATCCGCCGTAACAGCAGTCCAATTATCGGTCCAATGCTGATCGCGCCACGTGCCTAGAATAGAAGTCGCTCTTTAAGTCTTATTTCCAAACATTTAAAAGATTGTTCTCACGAGTTTCCGAAAACTCACCGAGGTTTATCATTGGTTCGATTGTAAAGACATGCCCAGGCTTCATCTTACCAGTTGCTTTGTTCTCTATAAATATTTTGCTTAGTATATTAGAAACTATAAAGACAGATGATTTGAAACCAAAATCAATGCATACTTGTATAATGGGGTACGTTCGGTGCACAATGGAACATCCTGAATAAAGGTTCAGGTCATATTAGTTTTTTATATTGATAAAATGAAAATAGGGTCTTCGATGTTACCTATGAATACCGTGACCACAATAAGTTCGAACAACGGAACAATTATTAGCCTTAGCATGCTTTTCGATAACCGCGCCAAGATCCCGATATAGATATCCTGGTTTCACTGTTGGTTTAAAAAATAAATGTTAGAGAAATAGTACTTTTTCTTCTGCTTGAAAAGAATCACATTTTACCGCATTCAATGGCTTTGTTCAAACATTCTCTCGCAGTTTTTATAAGCTTCAGACTTTCTTCATCCACATTTCCAACGACATAGGTCTCATTCAGATCCCCGTGAAATCCACCATGGTACAAAGTTACATCTAAGTTGATAATATCACCATCTTGTAGCTCCCGCTGGTCAGGAATGCCGTGGCAGATTACTAACAGAATTATCAAGGCATTGTCAACCGGTAGCATTGAAATTTGGTTTACAATAACAGTGAGCGTATTCATGTTTCCCAGTAATACCTTCATTCACTGATCTAAAATAAAATGTCTGGTTAAGTTTGTGCAATAAAAATATAACTCATTAAATGTAATAATGATTAGTTCATGCATTTACGTGCAAACTGATTTCGGAAATTCATAATAATTTAAAGGTGATGGATAGGAATCACGTTCAATGGTTGCATCGTGTATAATTCGATCGATCTCGTCGGTTGTAATTCCAGGTTTAATTGAAGCCGCGCCGATGTCCAAGACTTCACGTGCAAGCTATAAAACACGATGAAATTGTCAATCTACTGAGAATTCTCGGATATTTTTCCAAGTGAAGTACTATTTAAATAGACATCTAACCGCGCACACTTTTCGCATTGCCGCAATCTCTTCATCGTTTAGGACTGGGAGGTTTGAACGGCCAATCTGCTCGGATCTTGATTTACCTTTGAAAAGTCAATATATTAGTTGTGCATGCTAAAACCAGATATGATCGTGTGAGCATCCTATTTCATATAAAACTTAAAACCTTTCGGATCGTCAGCATAGTCGGGCCTCGCGATGTGCGCAGGAACTTTTCGTCGAGGGGAGAGAGGATATACGGCACGTAAAGTACCTGTATATGGAAATGCCGGGGTATAGGTTTTGATGGCCGCTGTAAGAGATCATACCGGCGATCAGTTCATGAATGTGGTGCGAATGGTTATTTAAAAGTAATTAGAACCCTTACATTTATGTAAAAGTTTATGTGTGGGCTAGAATAAAAGGAACAATTTAATGAAACAATTTCACGAATTCGCTTCTGATTTTAAACAAAGGTTACCCAATTCTTCGTAAAACACTCCTGTGAACAAAAGTAAGAGTTAACTTGTGACTTCAAACATGTGGGGCATTGTAGTTTGGCAGGTTTCGAGCACCCTTGGCCTTGACAAGACTGTCCGTCGCTCATGTTTTCAGCAAGACATACAAACCTTTAAGACATCATTATATACTAAATTAGTTTCACGTGACGCTACATTTAACTGCGTATGCCGTTATACCATAAATAGAAAAAATAAGTAAATTAAACTAATTTTTTTTTTTTATAGTTAAGATCAGTTTAAGAATGATCGAAAGAAACATTTATGCTAAAATAAAATAATTTTTATTACTTTTCTTTTAATAAATTATTTTAAAAGTTTAATATATATTTTAATTTTAGGGTTTATTTTTTTTGAGTACTGAAATACAGTAGTATATCAATTGAAATTTTTGCAAGCTAGGATATTTGATGAATTCTATATAATATCATAACGAGGAAAACTTATTCTTGAATTCTATACAACTTCATAACGAGGAAAGCATTTATTGCCCTTTGAAAGGTGTAATCGAAAAAAGCAAAATACAGATCTGGAGTCTAACTATACAATTGATAAAAATTCTTCTAATTATACAAGAATAAATGGAAACCATGCGTCCATTGTTTACCCAAGATTTATTGTTCTATTATCTGACTTACGAAAAGTCTTGTTTGTTTTCTTTTCAATAATTTATGATTGAAAGAAAAATAAGAAATTAAACTCCTATGATGTGATGAGAGTAATATAATGCTAAATCGAATCTAACGTTTTGGTACTAAATTGTTGTAAACCACGTAATACGACTTCTAGAGATTTCAGCTCTATTTCTTCGGTCTTGACTTTTGCTCCAAGGTTCAATAATTTTTTTACCAAGCGCTGCACCTTTACCACGCGTTCACTGACCTCTGTCATTAAGTCCTGGACGTCTTTTCTTTTGTACGGCTCTGAATAAAAACATGATGTCAATTGCGACACCGCTAAGATAAAAGACATCTCAATAAAGGTAGTTGTGGTGCTCCATGTTATTCGCCAGAATTGCCAATCGTCAATTTTGTCCCTGGATTCGACCGAGTTTTCCCATATCTCTAACAAATTTACTCCATATTCCATCAGTTCCAAAAGAGTTGCAACTGTGGATGGTTCTTTATCCGAGACCTTCATCAATGGCTCAAAATAGACACGATGTTCCGACCAGATTGGAATTGACATTGTGAGAACCCCTTGAGCATTGGTTATATTGATGTAGGTTGCCAGAATGTTGCGGGTAATAAATAAAAGCTTTTGTTGAACATTTTGCAGAAATCTGTTCATTTCATTTGAATCCGGCGAAGACACGTCGACTGCGGGTAAAACTTTTTTAAAAGCTGACTTCATTCCATCGGATAGAGGAGTCTCGGATTGCTCTTTCTCTTCAGGGGACATGGGTAATATCATGCGAGATGTGTATTTTGGATGAGTGAATAGGTAGTTTATCTTGGCTAAAAGTGTTATCAAGGAATCTTCATAGAAACGAGAAAGGCTTGTCTCATCCAGTTGTCCAAAATGAATTGACAATTGATAAAACAACATTGTTGTACGTAATATCTCTTCGATGTACGGCATGCTTAAAGGAAGTTCGCATGCCATCGCGTGCAAAATTTGGTTGACAAAGAGATTAATGAAACCTACAACATTATTAAGAAAATTGTCTCTTTCTTTACTCTCGATCGTACCCAATATACTTGTTACCACGGCTAACATGAAGCACCAAACTTGGTGCCAATCCTCCTTCGAGTCGTGTACTACGGTTCCTGCTTGTAATGATAATGACAACTTGTTGTTACAAAACTCGTTCATAATCCCATCAACATACAACTGTTTTGCTGCAACTGGAACATTTGCTAACGACAAAAGAAAATATGTTACACTATCAAAATATATGGGACGATCTTTCCATGGTAATGTCATGGACTGCGTAAATGTCCTAAGCAATAAGTTAATGATATGGTGATCCTCCAGTATCTTAAGCCAAACAGTAGGAAAAGGGTTACATAACGGTTGTATAAGTTTTTCCATGATAGCTATAAGTGTTAAAATGTCTTCTTCAATCGAGTTATTATTTAAATTTCTGCTAGTCAACGATTCCAGCAGAGCACTAATTTCTGATAGAAGTGAACGACACGTGTGTCGAAATTCTGATAATATTCGTTCATTACTGGATAAAAAATCGTCGGCATTGTTAAGTGCACGAAGGCACAACAACAGTGACTGCAATAGAGGTCGATGAAATGCTGGCGTGGAGCGTCCCTCAACGGAATCTCGTATTGGAAAAATGACACTCATTATTCCGTTGTGTAAAAGTGTAATTAGCTCTGCATATTGAATAGCTCTTTCGGATTTAGGTTGATCGTCGATTATAGAAAATTGTTCCAACAATCGCAATAATAAAGTTGCAAGGTCGTCGCGCACTGTCAACATGACGACATGTCCATCTCTCGTTTCCTCTTCAATTCGTTCTGCAATGCCCTTCATTATGGGCCAAGAAACATTCACGTTATTTTTCGAAACCCAAAGTGCTCCGTTTAATCTATCCGATGCTGTCTCCATAAAATACTTCCACGACCTGAGCAGAACCACTTGAGCATCGACCCTTGACCAATGGTGATTTTCTGTACACAAGGCGTATAAAAATTTATCGGAATCTTCCGGGTCTTCACGTATGGTCATCAATTTCCTTGCTAGGTTTACGTCATACATATAACTATCGCCGTAACTATGGCTCATGTCATAATCCTCACTCCAATATAAGACATTGAGACGATTTAGCTTGATACCAGGAATAAAATTATCAGCAATTTCATATAGTGAACGTTGAATGGATGGATCGTAATCGATGCAAGTGAAACTTCTTAACCATTTAATGAGGCTGTTGGCATCTTTAATTTCGGCGAATAACGTTCTTAGGCCACCTGAAGATGTTTCTTTGAATACTTCATTAAGATCTTTCGAACCTCGAGTTGTGGATGATTTCGTAAACCTAATTTCATGGGCCAATATCCGCAATACTCGAGCTTTGATATTAAGGTGACAACACTCTTGCATAACCATATTGTTCGAATTACTGACAAGATCGTCTTGTGATAAATATAAGTCATTGATTTTCGGAACATCCGTGTTCAAATCGGCAAAAAGTATCGAAGCTATGTTCTCCCAAAATTTACTATCATTTCGCAATTTCTGCAGAATTTCATGATCGGGTTTACGAATGCTTTCCCATAAAACATCCAGGAATCTTGTGGCAGCAAGTAGTAAAGTAGGTTTTTCCTGTAAGAGGATTTGCCAATCTTGTAGAAATTCTAGGATAATTCGAATTACGGAATCAGAGGGCGTGGCATCCGTGGACTTTCTTTTGCCCTTGCGATCCAGCAAATCATAAAAAACATCTCCCCCGTAAATAATCGGACCCGATTGTGCTTGTGTAGCGACAGTGAAAAAATTTAATATCGCCACCTGCAAATCTGGTGCCTGAACTTCTTTCTTCAACCTATATAGATAAGCTGTCAACAAATCTTTTGACTCTGTATCATTTCCAAAAAGACCACTTAACGACGGACAATTTGATATGGATCTGATTGACAACGTGAAAAGCAAGGCCAGCAACTCGCATGCCATGATTGGAACACTAAAACTACCGGTGTACTTTATGAGCGAAGCAATTACAAATATCAACCCTCTTCTATTGTTTCCGGTTGTCCTATCCAACAATGTGATCTCTAGCCACGATGATTCAGTGTTTGTCAGCTTGTGAAATTTGAGCAACCTTAAAAGAAATTGCAGCGCTAGCTCAAGCAAATTGGTCGACCCCTGTACCATTTGGTAATTAGAGTTCTTTCCTAGATAATATCGACTTTCTTTGCCTTTTTCGATTATTGAGAATAGCGGAAGGGCGTGATACAATCCTCCGTCTGTCAAAAAGTTACTCGCGACATACTCTTTGAGTGAATGTTGAAGGTCACTTTCTTTTGTGCATACCATGGGATCATTATATTTGATATGTCCCTTAACTGGAGGACAACCGAGCATAATTCTGTTAAATATCTCTAAACATTTTGAACCAATTTGAACACGTTCCAGAGGATTATTATAACGCCAGTGATCAAATGACACAAAAATAACGTTCAAGACGTAAGAAACACATGAACGAAGAACTTCTAGAGGGCTTGTCCAAATTTCTTGATCAACAACCAAATAATCCCTTTCAACATTGCTCAATATACCTATCACAAGGTCTAAGAATGCAATGGTCACAGGGTAACTACCCGAAACACATTCTTTTTCCATCAATAAATATTGTAATTGATCGATTGACTGAACGTCATCTGCCATCAAGTCGTTTGCACTTTCATTCGGTAAAAGGCTCGATTGCTTAAGATATAGTATGATTTTTTTTCCAAAGTAGGGTAACAATGCTTTTAAACATTTAAAGCCATTTGCAACCAACTCAATTTCACCACTCGAAATTCTAGAGACATCTAGTACATTCTTGATCACCTCAAAAATAATTTCAGAAAGATCCTTATTGGGTTCATTCATTTCTTTGAAAGAATCTAAATGTTCTACCATTGGTTCGACAAGACCCGGTGCATTGATTAACATTGTATTAATGAGTTGTAAAATTTCCCGGATCCGAGATATTCTGGTATCATCATCGGTCGATATGTCTTCGATTTCTGATAGTGGAAAAGATTCAAGCATACCAATAAAAAGTTGCCAAGCCGAATAGTTGATTTTCCAGCGTACGATTTTTTCCCCATTCACAAGCGAAACCACGTTACCACATGTTCCTTGTGGGATCGTAATAGTTTTCTGGTAAATGTTCTCGAGAATTTTAATAGGTTGTTTTGCATACACTATGTACGCGCTGTTCAAAGCAGTAGAAAGTTGATATTCAGCAGCTGAATAGCAGCACACGGGCAGTGATTGAAAAAATTCAAAGATATATTTCGCGGAGGCTTCATCGGAGGCGAGGGCAATGAGCAGTCGCATGAGAGGATGAAATTGTTGCGGGAACCTAGTTATCGCCAAATCTAACAATGATCTACGTTTTGGGTGATCAAAGTCCTCTTCCCAAAATTCTTGACAAGGTCCATATTCACCGAAAACTAATGCGAAGCATTCGATTAGGCCATTATAATCTACTAAATGATTTACTTCGTATGCTTCGAAAATTGACATGAAGAAATGTTTAAACACTAATTTGTATCCTGTGATGTATGGTTCATCCGGTTGAAAACAAGAACCTTTCAAAATACGTAGAATGTTACTAATAACATCAAGCTTGAATGCCTTGATTCCGCAATCCCTGACTATATTATTCGCGATTGTTTCAAGATCCTGATAGTCATATGGCCAACTTGTTTCGTCAAAGAAGGCCTGTAGATGCGATAGATATGATGACCAAATCCATAAGAAAATTCCATGTGTTTGATCATTTCCCATTTTTAAGGCGATCTCATTCACTACCATTATGTCTTTTTGTGGTGCCGTTTGTTTTAAATGCAAAGGTGCCGAAGGAAGTATAGTATCAACTTTGAATTCGACGAAGAGTATTATTATTATAAGAATTTGACTAAGATCATGAACTTGGGAAACCATCTCCCTGCCAATGTTATCAAGAAATTGTTCGATAGGTTGATCTTTACCGAACCTTGTATTAAGAGAATGCTGTAAAAACTTTAACAACAATAGGTGTATTGAATGTTCGGGAGATTTGACCGCGTATCGTATAAATAAGAGATCCAATAAAACTTTTTGTTCCTTAACAGATTGTATTGCCCAAATTGATGCCATGTCTGTAGCCAAGAAATTTTGAGGAACGGAGGATCGTGATTTTCTCTGAAACTGATCAAATATATTTTCCGTAAAAACATCGTCCAAAAAATGATTCTGAATTATTTCTCTCGCTAAATCGTGGTAGACTTTCTCCGGGTCTTGCGCAGAAAAAAATAGGTAACATAATATCTCGATGATACTGCTGCGTTCTTCGAAATAATGTTGTATAAACTTTTCCTTCAGTTCAAAATCGTTCCACTGGGACCACGTAACATTCTCCTCTTGGAAACTGTGAATTAATTCCTTGCAAAAAGATTGATCAAGCTGAATCAAACTACTAACATTTGACTCTGTTAACTCGAAAGGTTGTTTATTGTTCGTTAATGGTGGAGGGGCAGTCAGCTTCTTTTGGTCAAAGTAATCCAATCCACATTTTAGACAATCTAGTTTATCGTCCAATATCTTCTCCATGACACTTGGTGGACATTGACCATCCGATAAAATTAAAGTAGTACGAATGGTAACGAAAGATCTGCGGGTACCAAAAGCAAGATTAAATACATTTTAGGGGAAATAAGTGTATCACGTGGAAAAAAGTCTTCGTTTCTCATGTAATAATATTGAACGCTTTCATTTCCGTGACCGTCTCAGACTTTTTTTCAAAAGCCGAGTAAATTGGACGCGCCAAAAAAACCAACCTGCCGAAGCGTTGTACCAGGGCTGGCTCAACAGAGGTTCGCGACTTTGTAGGAGACAAAGAACTGTCAGACGAAAGTTTAAACATGTTTCGACGTGGAGTGCGTGGTGGATGGAGTCGTAATAGTTACTGTGTATTGTCAATGAAATCTATTTTTTGTAATGCTAGTTTACTGAATTAAAAAAAATCGAAGAATGAAATATAGAGTCTGTCGCCTATTGGCAGAATGTATTGTGTAACGATCGAATCTTTAATTTTCCATTATTAGTGTTTTATACAAATTGGTACTAAGCAAGTAAAAGACAGATCTTATATACAAGTAAATTTTTTGTTTAAGCATATCACTTGACAATATCTTGAGTTTTCAAGCATAACTCTGAAGATAGTTTAATATTTATTCTATTTAAAAAGGTTCTTTGAATAATAAATATTTAAACTTTATTATTAGTTTTTATCTTGATTATTTAGATTTCTTTTATTAAATACTAAAATTAAAAGTTAAAAAATAAATTTCTTAAAAAAATATATTATTTTTTTTTGTTATTTAATTTTTAAAATTTCAAATAAAATAAAAAACTTATTATATATATTTAAAAATAAGTTATTTTTTTTTATAAAATTTTAAACTTAAAAATAAAGAAATAGTTTATTTTCAAAGTTTATCTGTTAATTTCTATTTACAATATTATTGATCAATTTTTGTATAATGTTACTTATATATTAATAATAATTTATTTTATATTTTTATATTTTATACTGTTCTATCATTTGTTAAGCAATTTTAAATTAATAATTAATTAATCTTTTATAATAAATATAAAAGATTATCAAAATTATCAAAATTAATTTTGCCTATAAATATTGTTTAAATTTAATTTGTTATTGATTTAATTGTTAAATTTTCAAAAATAATTATGTTTAACTCAATTATTTTATATATTTTATTAATAACTTAATTAATTGTATTAAATAATTATATCAATTGTGTTAAGAATTTATAAATTTCCATTATATATATAGTCTAGCTAATATTAATATATTTAATCTAACTAAATATCATTTTAGTATTTTTATAAAGAATATATGATTATATATAAAAAACTTATAACTTATTTTTGAAACTTAATATTTACATAAAATTCTGAATTTTAAAAGTGAAATGGCTTATTTTTAGAAATAGTCTATTTTTGATTTTTTTTTTTTTTTTCCGTAGTCAAACAAGCACGTATTGTTTATTAAATCTTTTCAGAAAACAACTAATATATAATATATTGTATTGCATAAACTATTCTACTGCCTTGAACACCCGTCTTAGACAAATGTCTCTAGGTATAACTTTGAAGATGAAAAAGGTTGTTCTCTTTTCTATCTACCTATCTATGGAGTTTGATATTAAAGGTTATTATCTGCAGTTCATTACTACAGTTCATCTAAGCAAAATCTAGACTACTTTTATATTCCCAACCATTTTTTTTCTTCTTTGATCTATTCCCATATCGATAACTTGTTTTGAGCTTGATCTGGAATAGGTTCTTCTATATTTGTGTCTTGTAAGGTTTCAGGGGTCATGTTCGTCATCTCTTCTTGTAGTTCTTTTCTCTTGCTATTCAGATTCTTCTTCTTTTTTTTTCTTATCCAGCTGTCATCTCTATTTCCTCATCTATGTATTTTCGGTTTCCTTCCCGAGTTTTGTAATCTGATGCACCAGTCATTCCATATTTTTTTTCGAACTTTCTTACAGATGATTCTAGAAAACTTATTCAGCAGATACCTTGCTTTCTCCACTTTTATTTCCATTTTCCTTAGTGATTGAGTCCATTCCATAATATCTTCTTTCTGGAACAGTCCCAGACAAAGGTCAATAATATCTTTTCCTGAGGAGAACTTGTTCTTGTACCATTTCTGCAATAGTTTTGAGAGAATGTTATGCTTATTCTGAGTCTCTTTTTTGTACACTTCTTTTAGCCACCTGCTAAGTATCTGGTCTGAAGTTTCATTCCATATTTCTTCCCGAAGTTTGGTTATGTGTATACAGGAGAGGAGGTGCATGAGAGATTCTTTTTCTTGTCTGCAATAAATGTATTCTGTCAGGTCTTTATATTTCTTAGGAAATCTCTTGCTCATATTGTCCAGTGTTGGTAGTTCATTGTACATCATCTTTATACAGAAGGCTTTTTCTTTGACTTGCTTTATTGATGTCTTCAGGGATTCTTCTAGTCTATTTGTTTCCCAAAAACTTCTCCAGTCGTGATTCTTTTGATTGTCTATTTCACCACACCATTTTTTATGTATACGGTTCTGATTAGCCCATTTCGTTAATATACCTCTTTTGTGTATTTCTTTAATGAAGTCTCTAATTCCTATATCGATGAGGATTCCATTCCAGCAAAGTGTTGTCAAGGCTTCTTGTCTATACCAATTAATTCACATAATTTCTGGTTCTTCTTTAGCTTCTTTTGCAAGAAGGTCTACCCTATTGTTACCTTTATTTTTGCTGCATGCCTTGACCTTGGTCATCTGAACTGTGATCTGCTTTTTATATATTAGGTCGATACATCTTGTCCATAGTTGCCAGTTTTTCCACTTTCTGTTCCTTTTTCTGATATCTCTAATGTGAGGGTTTAGTAGTTTTTGAAAAGTATTGATACAGGTAGTGCTGTCTGTTCTTATTTCTACTTGACTTTTTAAAGGTAGGATAAGAAATACTAGAATAATTGCAACAAGTTCTGCCCATAATGTTGATGGCCAGTTATCCACTTCTGCTTGAAAAAAACTGCCTGGGTTTAATCCTTTTTCTTGTAACCAAGCTGCCCCATTCTTATTGTTTGATCTCTGGCTTTCTCATGTGATTCATCTGTATAAAAGCAGTACGGTTGTTGAAAATTACTGTTTTTGTTGATTTTATATTCTTCTATTAGGGTTTTTAAATATTCTGGTGAAAGAATGTGCTCTTTAATCACTTGAATTCCGAAATCTTCTATCTCAACTGCCACCAGACAGTTGTTGGTAATCTCTCGTTCCATAGGGTATTTCAATTTCTTTGTAGCTTGATTCTCTATTACATGTATACTAAAGGGAATTTTGGGTTCTGGAGCTCTTCTAAGGGTTGGATATTGGTTTAAAATTTCCACAGATAAGGACTTGCTTTTGGATCTTTTGTTGCCCCCAGAAGTGTTTACTCTATTTAATAAGTCTTCCTGCAAACCATTGGAACTTGTTTGTGGAGCACTTGTCAGCTTCTGTAATTTTGTTGAGTTCAGTCTGAAGCCTATCTTGAGCTTATAAATTTCTGCTTGGGGGGTTTGATAGTCTAAGTCCCCTTTACTTTTATATCAAATGATCTGATTGTTTTCTTCTCCGGTTTGTGTGATTTTTCAACTCCAGCGACGACGGTCTTTATTTGAGCTATCTGAGAAGAATTTTCTGTCCTGATCTTCCCAGTTCCAATCCTGCCATTCTTTCTTAAGAACATCGTAGTCATTGGCGAGTGTTGATCTTAATGTTTTGAACCATAGGGGCACTGGTCCTTTGCTGGTGTTAACAAATGTTTGTACAATTTTCCACGGGAGCATCGTTTTGATATCTTTATCAATGAGCTGATCTACAAACATGATTTTGTATTTTCGTAATAATGGAATTGCCTTGTGGTACAGATTCATGTTGTTAAGCTTATTTTTAATGGAAATTGAGCCTCCTTTCCAGTTGAAATATTCTGTCTATCGAGACGAGACTACTGTGATTCCTAACCTATTTGCCAATTTTAGTACCTGAGCTGAAAAGTTTTTTGAGCATTTAAATGATCGCGGGATTTCATCGGTTAGGATATTGACTGGTTCCCAGTTCTGAATCTGCGCTTGTTTAAGGTGAATCAAGGTGGATAGACTGGCAGGTCCTATATCACTTAATCTGTTCATTAAGTTAGAAATCTGATTCTCTGCTTGGATTTCCTTGATACTTTTGATGTTATAGATTTTTTTGTAGTGTATGGCCAAGTTGAAAATTGTTGAGACTAGTCCTGCTACCTGTTTTAAGACTCTTCTTAACTGAGTTGATAGGTTATTGCAAGTGTGTTGGTCTAAGAAACAGTATTGCATCCGGTATTCTATTCTGGGGATTAAAACTCTATTTATGATATATTCTGTGTGTTTATCTGTAATTTTCCTTCTTTTGAGGCAGGAGGCAACTGCTGTAATTTCTTGTTTGAGTCTATATATCGTATCTTTTGTATGTCTTTTACTTCCAATCCATATTCCTAGAAAGCGAGTGAAGCTATTACGATCGTTCTCGATAACTTCTTGTTAGTCCAGGCCGATCTTCACAGAGTTTGGTCCTTTGTTACCACTGTTGATGGTAATCAGGACTGATTTGTTGCCATTGATTTGTAAGTCATTTGCTGCATAGAATCATTTGGCTCTTTCTAATATATTTTTCATATCTTTTTCAGATCTGGCAATCCATGTTGTATCATCCATATAAGCTATCACAGCTTGTCGAACTGAGATTTGCTGTGAAGTATTGTCTTTACTAAGGTCGCTTTTCCATTTGCAGTTCATAGTATATCCTAATTTTATATTGTCTTGAATTTCACATAGTAAAGGGTCATAGAAGATACGCCATAGAAGAGGGGAGATCGTTTCTCCTTGATTTATTCCATTCCTAGCAATTATTTTTTTTGTTATTCCCATGTCAGTAATTACTTGGAGAGATCTGTCCTTGAATGGTTCCAGGATTAGTATTGCTAGGTGAGCTGGGATCTTGACTCTTTGCAATGCTCTTTGTAACATTTCTAGACTAATCGTGTCATATGCTTTTGCTATATCTTAAAACAAGATCCATAATTCTTTCTTTTCTTCCTGTGCTTCTTCGCAGATATTATTTAACAGGTGGATTGGCTCTGATGTGCTTTCTCCAGGTAGTCCTGCGAAGTTGGATCCTTTTAGGATATTGTGTGTTTTACATATAGTAGATATCCTGTTGATAATGATCTTGGTAAAATATTTTCGGAAGACATCTAAAAGTACTATTGGTCTAGTATTACTTAGGATGCCCTGCCATTCTTTGCCCTTTGATATTGGATAAAGA